CACATTGAAAATTATTTTATTTATTTCCCATTAATGGATGCAGCAAACATAAACAACCACAAGTCGCATCTTAACTATGGCACACCTCATGTTAGGTTGACTCACAAGTAATGTCCGGTTTTCAAACCCTTGCCAACCTTGCCAAAATATGGTTATGCTGTTCTCGTCAATGTATTGTGTATGCATCCGGACGGTCTCCCATAGGAAGAAACGGGAGCTTCTGCACGAGCATGTTCACCTCCTCGAGCGGGCACAAGTGGACCTTCGACAAATTTTGTTGCCCGAAAACCGTTACTTCGGAAACCCCGACAAGGCGTGGGTGGTTATGAGAAGAGCATGGTTTGTGTAAGCTAGATTTGAGGCTCCACTGGATGTACGCAGTGAACACCGATGCAAGCTCCGAAAGCGAGACCTCCACACAAAGAAGGTCCCGCCATCTCCTCGTTGGAACGCTTCACTAAACACCTCAAACGATGACACCACTGCTAACACAGACATCTACTGCTTACAGCTGTGTGGCCTTGCTGCGGATCTCGTAATCCTGTGGCTCACTGCAGATGAAGCTGTTCTACTGGATGGCAACTCATTTCACGAGAGGAAATCCGAGGATAGGTCAAAAATTGACTTCAAAATTCAAAAATTTGGTTTCATGGCTGTCCCCCATCCACTACATGCTTATAACCTCGTAGGAACTAATACCACTTGCTCCATTCCTCTGGTCAATTCCTGATGAAGAAGAGCCACTTGATCGAACATCTAAAACGGACCTCCAGTCATTGTTTGCGTCGAAGATTGCACAATCTGATAAACAGATATTCATTTTCATAAGTGTAGACAAAGGATAGTTGCAAGTGCCGTGATAAGAATTGTATCCGATAAAATCGGTTGTAGAGAAAGTCAAGTTTTGAATATTGATATTGAAAGCGGGCATTACTTGTGAATCTACCTCATTTACTGTCAATTCAATAATCCACTGTCATGCATCAAAAGTTGAAATCTTCAGAATTATGACCAACCCGTTACTTATCAAAAATGTGTATTCTTCTTCTGCTTGAATGATGAAATAGATATACATTAAAGGAATCTTGCGCGGAAAAATCATGATTCTATTTCAGCCATAAATCACTGGCTTGAGACTCATTATCCACGATAATAGTGAAAAGAACTGAAGTATTGCTTTCGTTTTGATTAGAAATTCGAAAACTCGAAAAGGCTGCTACGCGTTCGAATTGCCCACGGACGTCTTTCACGAATGCTGGCGACGGGGATGCTCAAACTTGGTTCTTGGAGTGCATTCACTAGAAGCTCTTTCTGGCCTTCTGCTTCGTTGCATTCACATCTTACACTTCTACTCCATCCTATTCCATCGATCGATTTGTCTCCACTCTCCGAAATCGCGCGCTTTAACCCGATTCTCTCATTGCGTCGCCTGGTACGTAGCCGGCCAAACGCCGTCTTCTTTCCATGCCTCGCCTGGCTCTGCCTCCTGGTCCTTCGATGGTCCATAACGTGTAGTTTTTGTACGTTTGTTTCTCTTCAGAAACCGAATCTTCATGCGTGAAACTTTGTGTGCTATTTCCAGTGATCACAACTGACATATTCATGTTAGGAAAGAGTGCAAGAATTTTCCGCGCAGGATTCCTTTAAAGTTCTGCCGCGATGTCGCGCCCAGGGGGGGGGGGGGGGGGGGGGCGCAGTCTGTTGTAAGGCCACCAGGACTAAGCCTAACGCAAGGGGACGAACTCAGGGGCGAATGAGAATTGCTTACGCAGCTCAGATTCCCTCTTCCCCTTTTTTGGTCCCAAAACTGAGTTTCCGCGAACTTGACGCAATGTCTCGGGTTGCCTCCCTCCCGCTAGAGCCACATTGCGCCAAGATCCTGGATGGTAGGCAGAGTGTGCTACATGATTTTCTTTGCCTTAGCGTGCGTTCTCAAGTAAACACCTGGAATGTGTAACTCATGAATCTTGATTGAAGTACAATGCAAAAGGAACAGAAGGATTACTCACACCTTCATGTCAGAAACTTGGACAGATGGAAAAAGGGGGTTCGCACTCAGAATGGAGGAGCTTACCGTCGAGCTCAAGCTTGCCTACGCCTTAAATTCAAGAAACGAAACAGCGATTCTAAAAATGGAAAACTTCGAACGAATGGGTTAGCGATGCTTTGAGCAGTTGTCATTTCTGCTTTCATGAGTATCTTCTAGTTGTCCGCTCCGCTCAGTGCTGTAATAACATGCATTACAAGACAGTAAGGGTGGGTCCAGTGTACGATTGAACAATCCCGCAAAAACAGAAATTGATTTTTATTTGAAGCAGGGTTAGGTTCAGTTTGAAATGTTTTCATTTTTCTTAAAGTAGAGATCGCAGCTTGTGAGGAGTGTAGCAAGTGAGTGTGGGGGACAATCTCGTAAACTCCGAGTTTTAGCGGTTGCACTTGCCTCTGCCACTTGCAGTCAATATCTCATGATCAGTTTGGTTAGGCGTGTCTATGGATTTGATGTGGCAGTAGCCGCACATGATAAGAGTTGCGCGGATAAGCTGCTTCCAGCATAATCTGCTGATATCCAGCGGAGTATGTTAGAAACAGCTTATCCACACGACTTCTATCAAGTGCGGCGATGGCCACATCAAATCCATAAACACGCCACGCCTAATCGTCAAGATATGGACTGTAGTAGCACTTTCAACGACTCTGTTGACACCATTCAACACAGGAACCTTAGGGAAGAGGGGAAGGTATCAGCCGCGTCGTGCGTACTTATGGGAGGTGAAGGGCTACGGTGGCCGAAATTCTCTAAAAACGTGGCTTTCTGGTTGAGAGTGACGTTTTTGGGACTACTTAACTTATGACACGCGCTAACGTGCGGAGCACGCCAGTAGCAAAATGAAATTCAAGACATTCATTGAGATTATTAAGCAGAGTAGAGTAACACTTTTGTACTACTATTCTGCTTAATAACCCCAACGAATGTGTCTTGAATTTCATTTTGCTACTAGCGTGCTCCGTAGGCCGATGTCATAGTTTGCGAATCGAGCGATTCGCTAGCGAATCGCTGGATCCGAGCGTTGCGCCAGCGAATCGAACGTTGCACCAGCGAATCGAACTTTGCGCCAGCGAGTCGAACGATGTACCAGCGAGTCGAACTAGGTACCAGCGACTCAATAGTGGCGGGACCCAACGTTTCAAAGGAAGCCCGCCACTTTCAAACAGTGTCCACTGTCACGTGACACTGTTTGAAAGTGGGGACACTGTTTGAAAAGGCGGGCTTCCTTTAAACGTTGGGTCCCGCCACTATTGAGTCGCTGGTACCTAGTTCGACTCGCTGGTACATCGTTCGACTCGCTGGCGCAAAGTTCGATTCGCTGGTGCAACGCTCGGATCAGCGATTCGCTCGATTCGCAAACTATGACATCGGCCTTAGTTGTTCTGAAACCAAATTTAAAATTTTGCCCAAGACACCGCCCACCTGGTCCCGCCCACCATGAGTGAGGCTCCGCTAAACTGGCGTTGGTTTTGTACTTATTATTCACCACTGCACCTGGGCTCCACAGGTAGTTTCCTAGGTAATAACGAATTTCGTGACAGACTGACAAACAGACAGAAAGAGAGACGAGCGAACTGTAGTGAGCAGAATAAGGTGCTGGAAAACTCACTCTTCTATGTAAGGTGTGTTATGAAACGTTATAAGATCTGCAATTGGTATCAGTTTGTTTGATCCATGACGTCGGAAGAATACAAGTCCTTCGTCGTTCCGATAGATCACATGTCTTGGATCTGGCGAAACCTAAATTTACCGCTTAGCTATAGACTCAAATTGGCTGTCCGCGTTCTAGAAGTCCATTTTGAACCACAGCAACCTACTGTAGGTTCTAAGCCAAAGATCATCGTGGAACGTTAGCGAAGCTATTGGAAGCAAACCAGAACAGTTGCACCCCTATGTGTTTGGTCACCTAAAGCCCATAACCTAGCGTTAACAATAAGCAGTCCCCGACCTGACAACGTAATTGACCACGGATAAATAAGATGAAACTAAAAGGAATACCTTCACAACCACCAAGTAGCGATTCGTGCCTTCGTTCACACCAATCTGACATGGGCATTTTTGCCTTCCCAGCAAGTGTTCCATGTCACACTAAACGATCACTGATATACCTCTTTGGTATGATAATTGAGATCCTAAAAATCTTGAAGCATATCGGGAGCATTCACTAGATTCTCGAACCGCGATGCGCCCTATGGGCCCTCGTTGGCTCAGAAAAGAAACACAGCCAGAGTAGCGGCAAATATTCAAGTTCGCAAGCCAAAAACGAACACATTCGGGTACAAAATGGAAAATTCGCGCAAGAGTATAGGTATATATCATTACTTCGTCCTAACGTTGTTCGCGAGCAAACGGCTGGGTTTCAGGACATCTGTCAACCGCGAGGCTTGGCTGTTCAGCGTTTTGTAGTGATGTCTGGGAGCTCTCACAAGTGCACACTATCACAGCATCTCCTCTTTCTTTATCTTCTTCAAAAGGCTTAGTCCCAATAAGACACAAAGTGTGTGCTTTTCCAGCTACGCTCTCACCCTTTGGTTGACAGAAGCCTTGTAACCAAACGGCTGTGCAGCATGCAATTGCACAGCCGCTTGTCCCCAAACAACGGTATGACAAAAAAATTAGAACTCCCACTGCTATAAGTTCAGCTTTATTCCTTCTAAATGTTTGTCGAAACGTACGTACAAGGAGAGGGACTGGCCGTGGTGTATTAATAGCACAAGATATGTAGCAGTAGACTACAGTAATCAGAAATCTTTAACAGGTGGAAATAAGATACCAATCGACGTTGGAATGCTCAGCTTGAATGAGATTCGGCCCATTCCATACTACGAATAAAAAGTAAAATAAATAAATTGACAAAATTTTGAGAAATCCAGAGTAGAATGATTTTTCGAACTTTCTGATCGAACGCAAGTACACGAGCTTTCCATGTTGAAAAGCGATAGCTAACACTTACCACATATTTTACATCCTCAGCGAAAGCACCATAGTAGTCATCGGGTTTCTCAGTGGGCCAATCAGGATCTGGGCATTTTTCAGGACGTCCTATTTCATGCACTCTTATGAAGCCCACTGTAAAAAAATGTTTCGTATCAAACATCCTTAAAAATCCTGGCAGCCTTACCTTGAATGAGCTCAGGTGGAACAGGTGGGACAAAATGGTATAGGCACTCGCTTAGTGATGCCAAATAGTGATCTTTCTGAAGATATTTTCAACAGCTATTGCCAAAATCGTATCACGTCCACAACAGCTGAGCAAGTAGTGATGATATTCGGCCTTTGTCTTTGAGTTCTACTCTCATCTGAGCTTTCCAGTAAAAGGTAGAAACCACTTCACCTTTATGCGTAATCAACTTCCTTCTCAAATCCAGTCGCATGATCTTTAAATAACCCTGCCTAGGAGGTAACGGTGTAGAAACAGCTTTGATCCGGAAGAACCCATTCGGTGGTGGCCCAGTTGTTGTTGAAAATAGTTTTTACGTCATACAAAATGGAACCATCACTTTTTTCCAAAGCTACTTAAAATTTTGATTTTTAAGTATTCTAGGGTGTGGTGCGCTGGGACATAACGCGAATTTTTCGCTCTTCGCAATGCGAAACTGTTTTCGCTGCAGCAACCCCAGGTCCACTTACGATTAGGCAAGGACCTAAGTTCACTACAGCGGAAAGTTCCGCGATGATGCGAAATTCGCTTTTGTTCTAGCGAACCATACCCAGTACTCTACCATGAGAGGATATTTACAAGCCACAGCTATTTTGAAAGAATTTTTCGTGAAAAATAAGCTAACAAGGTAACCAACCATGTCGTTGTTCAGAGGGACTCCACGAACCATTCCGGTATCATCAATACCAATATATAGACGACCACCGTCCGTATTTAGAAATGCACAAATGGTCCTGAATTGAGGCAAAGTATTGGCGTTAGTCGTTAGTATTGGTTCCAAGACTGAGACGCAAGGAAGAAGAGGACCTTCATCCCTTGTCCAACCTTTGTCGATTACGCTTTTCTCACAGTTTCCCTACGGTCCTGGTTCTGTGCATCGGCTGCAGACAGGTCCGCAGCATTCATGTTCACTTCAGCTTACCTAGCCATCGCTGGTCGGCCGGGAGTAGTAGGTACTGGTACTGGACGAGTACCGACCGACGAACATTACGTTGTCTGCCGACTTGAACGCATCAGGAGGTTTCGTTGAACATCACCGCACCAGCGGAGGCGTGAGGCAGCAAGGAGTTAGGGGTGGGCTGAACTTCAATTTTATCTCGAATGTCCTCATTCCGAATGCCGTCTAAACGCGTGTGTCCCAGACTCATCGCAACATCTTCATTTCCATGGATCCACCACTCTTGTTTCGTCAGCCGTCATCTGTTTCGTTTCTGCACCATAGATGGCTACAGGCCTCACGACTGATGTGTAAATCATGGACTTCAGGCGGGTTGGCATTTTCTGTCACAGAGAATACAGGTGACCGTTCCGCCATTTGTTCCATGATGCATTGATTCTGGCAGTCGTGTCGGCTTTCGTGTCAGTTTCCGCAGAGAGCATGGATCCGAGGTATGAGATTTTGACCATCTCTGGTAGGGGCGTCCCAGCAGAGTGTGAAGAACTGCCGCAAAATGTCACAGCTATACGTGGGTATGTAGCGGAAAGTCGCCGCGCGACGTCGCGCGCTTCACTAGGCTGTTGTGTATCATGTGCAACAAGCATCACATATGGTACCTCCTCAGCAGAAGCATCTGCACCGCACGCACAAACACGTGACTGGGGTAGCACATTTCCGTGCTATGTGTTAGATACACAAAACACATAGCATTCGTGCAATGCGCACTAATTTGAACCGCATGAGGCGCGACGTCGCGCATTGGCTGGTGCCAGAGTCCGCGAGCCGTCGTGCGACTGATCGCAGACTCTGAAACCAGCCATTGAATTCCCGCTACACAGTCAGGTGATCAACAATGGTGCCCACAATTTCGTCCCCTAAAGCTTATAAAGCCGTAAAGGGTCTGTACCTGTTCCATCATATGACCCAAGAAATTTCATCTTTACGGGGTCAATTTGAACAACGTATTAATAGATCAAGTAGAACCAAGTATACCCCGAAATTCTCGAAAAAACCAAGGGAGCATATATTAGTGAGATTACAAAGTCCGGTGAGTGACCGCAACCGTAACACGTGACTGGTTGGCGCGCAACGTCACGTGTCATCGATTAGAATTCGACGTGCCCTTTTGTCGTTTTTCCGCGCACTCCACGGCGACAGAATGGGCGTGATAGAACCTGGCTCTTGTACGGAGCGTCCGTGCTGGTATATAGGAGGAGTATGGCAGTCGGTCGAACTTGCCGGCAAGCAGTTTGGCGGCACCCCGGGGCCAACCTCCCTTGCCCTGCGCGGCAAGCGGCGAGGCGAGCGCTGCGTGTATTTTTGGATAGTCGCCCAAGGGCGGCTGTGGTGGTGGGGCAGGGTCAACCGTCCGTTGGACAAAGTCCAACGCGACGACGAGAGTAATGCCGAGAGTGAACGTACGCACGGAGACACAGACGGCTCGCGGGTGGCGAGAGTGAATGCCGGCGCGGAGAGCGGTCAACATCGGTCCAACGTCGCTCCAATATCGGTCCAACGTAACGGTTGACCCTGCTTGGGGGGGGAGTACTCGTGCAGTTGCGCGAGGCATTATAGCCTGCACGTTAGAGCTGAAACGTATTCGAAGCTGTGGGATACCGAGCGAGTAGTGTAGCTGCGGCCTCCAGTGCCAACGTGATTACGGTGGCGGTCATCATTCGGGACTTGCGTTCAAAACCGGCTTTGGAGCAACTCACTGGCTCAACGGTTGCGTTTGGCGTATAATGACATCTCCTTCGGTTCTCTTTGGTATCTCATAAGAGGCATTCTTCAGGTGCATCTTGAATTCGACGTACTCATCTTCGTCCAACTTGGTGCGAAAACCTGCATAAATTGCAGGTGTGCTAGTCATCTGTAAATCAACAAGTCATGACCTAATAAGTCCTTAAAAACAATGAAACAACGCGGAGACAAACTACTGCCTACAGTGAAAATCGGTGTGTAGATTTTTTCATTAACTGCAGTGTCTTAAAAGCAGTTCACGGAGCAACTTCCACTCGTTTTAATGAGTACCATCAGTTCACAGCACGGCGAAGAATCCAGTATCGATTCCAGCAAGTTCCACCCGGCGAACGCCTCGAATCATGCGCAATTTCTTCGAGACCTAACGACACAAGACCCCCTTTTTCGCTTTGCGCGTCAATCCTGCACAATCTTCTTCTACTCACGCTCTTCTCGAAGCAACATGCCGCTGTACGCTTCCAGATTTTCTTCTCGGGATATATTGGGGCATGGTTTAGTGTTGGTAGCAGTCGGTGAGAAACGGAACATCGAAAACGCAGATTCTTGATAACTAACAAACAACGAGAAACACAAGGTACGGGGTCCACCTCCACGCAATTACTTCACACTTTTATTATTTTATTTTTTATTTATTGAATGGGCATGCTGAAACAATGTGTAACTTGATGTGGGAGCATTATGATGGTTTCCAAACGTGAAACAAAGCAAATAGTGCACTACAAAGTAAATAAAGCAACAAATTACGCCGGGTTCTACAACGCGTTAAATCAAGTGAAGATCGCTTCTCATCGCTGCAGGACCACCTTTTCTCTTATGAACATGGTCCTTTGACATGAACTATACGCTTTGCGTAACGCTAGCCCAGCTTGTAATTAATTAAAAGATTTTTGGAAAGGTTATATCTTCTATCTAGAATTGAATGGAACAATACGAAAACTTCCGGTCTTTCAAGAAACGGAAGTTGTTCTCTTTGTTTGTGCTGATTTGCCAGGATGCTAGGACGAACAGCGACTTTCTCGCTTTCCGTAGTGCAAAATTTTCTCGCTGCGGGAATCCCAGGTCTTGAGTGGACATGAGGTTCATGCAGCGAAA